CCTCACAATCCTTCTTAACAGAGTGTTCCAGACAGCCACTACCCGTGGCCAGAGAGAATCTGTTCACCCTCCTCACTCTGGGGAATGATTGCAAGGAGACCCTATAGAAGACTTGAGAAATCTGGTTGGCAAGAGTCAGGTCCCACACCCCCCCATCCCAAAAGCTGTCACTGACCTGAATGGACCAAGACTGTTCTTCCCACAGGCCGCTCCAGACGTGGCAAGAGCAGAGCCACAGAGCTTCACTTCTTCCTCGCAGCTCTCCTTCAAACGCTGGCTTTGGGGTTCTTCATACCCGTTCTTGCCCAAAGGGCCTTCAGCAAGATCCTTCCCAAAACAGAGGTCCTGGGGGGTCCCCCTGCCTGCGGGGGAACGACATCTGCAGGACCTCAGTCCCTGCCTGGCCTGCTTCCTGTTCTCCATCAGCCCAGGTCTGTCCTGGGGGGCTTGGAATGGAATGTGGCACAGGGAGAAAGTGATGGAAAAACCCTTTCTCTAGACCATTCAACTCCCATCACCACACATTCAGATGCCTTTAAGCTCTTCCTTTTGATCACGTTTCTATTCTTTCATAAAAAGAGAGACGTTTGTCCATATCCACCCAAGGAAATTTCCCCATGTCCTCTACTGCTGCATTAGGCTTTTTGTTGACAGGAAAATGCCCATCTACCTTGTTAGGGTGCCGTCTTATATCCTTATAGACGGTCCTCTTTGAGTGATTGGGGAGAATAGGCCAACAGAGAAGCAGCTGCAGCTCCAGGGGCTGAAAGGGGATGGGAACAGAGGCAGCAGCTCTGACTTAAGTTGTGAACAAAGACTATTTTCCTCCCCTGACCTGTTTTTTGTCACCATCCCGTATGACCTATTTATGGCGATGGGCTGATTAGAGCAGCAGAGGGCGCTGCAAGGCCAAAAACAGAGCCGCCCACCTCAGCGGATCCGGGAGAAAAGTCTTTTTTTGAGTGATGGCAGGGACCAAGAGCCAAGCTGTGGGACAAGATTGGCCTTGTTTGCCAAATCCCGCCAGGGACCCCGCCAGGTCCGAGGGCCGCTCTGGAGGGGCGGTTTCAGGCTCATGAAAGGCAGTCCGGGGCACTCAACGGCCTTGGGGAGCTGCTCAGGCTCCAGACATCAGGTTTAAAGGGTCTGCGATAGAGAAATCCAAGGGCGAGAAGTCTGTAATAGGTCATTACATCTTGAGAGTCTCTCTTATTCTGAAACTTTGGGAGTCACTTGACTGTGCTCGGTTGCACATTGTGGCCTCTCATGAAGAAGCCTGTTGCAACTTTTAGAAAACAGGGTTTTCTAGAGCAGGGTTAGAAGGCTCATTTCTCATGTTCCCACTGCTCTTAAGGATTTGGGAAGAACACAGCGGGCTCAGGGCTCGGGAGGGCGTGAAGCTCTATGACATGCTTGCAAGATGGACAGAAAATTAAAGATGTGGGTCACTTTTTTGGGGCGCCTGGGTGGCTCAGTTGTTAGGTGTCTGCCTTCGGCTCAGGTCATGATTCCAGGGTCCTGGGCTCGAGCCCCGCATCGGGCTCCCTGCTCTGCAGGAAGCCTGCTTCTCCCTCTCCCACTCCCCCTGCTTGTGTTCCCTCCCTCTCTGTGTCTCTCTCTGTCAAATAAATAAATAAAATCTTTAAAAAAAAAAGATGTGGGTCACTTTTTTTTTTTGACCATTAATTGGTACAACATAAATTTTGCCAGATTTCACGACTTTCTATTTTTAGATTTACTCAGCATCTTTTCTCTAAATATCTTTGAGGCGAATAAAGCTCTCAGGAACTGTATTTATCAGTCTATTTAATAAGCATCCTAAGAGTGACAACAAACTAATCCTACATCATTTGCCAGGCGTCTTGCATACGTTATTTCATTTAATATCCCAGCAGTCCTGTGAAGAAGCTAGTACTGTCACCTCCGTTTCACAGATGGAGAAACTGAGGCTTGGAAGGGTCAGGTCATGCTTAAGGTCATCAAGCAGAGAAATGCTGGAGCTGGGTGAACCCAGGCACCTGGCTCCAGAACCCCACTTATCTTTTTTTTTTTTTAATTTTATTTATTTCTTTGAAAGAGAGAGAATGAGAGAGAGCACATGAGAGGGGGAGGATCAGAGGGAGAAGCAGACTCCCTGCCGAGCAGGGAGCCCGATGCGGGACTCGATCCAGGGACTCCAGGATCATGACCTGAGCCGAAGGCAGTCGCTTAACCAACTGAGCCACCCAGGTGCCCTATCTTTTTTTTTTCATTAAAAATTAGAAAAAATTCTTTTCCAGCTTCGTTGAGAAATAATTGATATAGCATTGTGTACATTTAAGGTGTACAGCCTTTGAGTTGATGCACTTATGTATTGCAAGATGGTTACCGCCATCGCGTGAGCTGGTACTTCTAGCACATGACATAATTACCAGGAATTTTTTGGTGAGAACATTTAAGATCTTTTTTTTTCCCCTAAATATTTTATTTATTTGAGAGAGAGAGAGAGAGCAAGAGCAAGGGGGGAGGGGTAGAGGGAGAGAGAGAATCTTTTTTTTTTTTTTTTAAAGATTTTATTTATTTATGTGACACAGAGAGACACAGCGAGAGAGGGAACACAAGCAGGGGGAGTGGGAGAGGGAGAAGCAGGCCTCCCGCCAAGCAGGGAGCCCGATGCAGGGCTCTATCTTGGGACCCTGGGATCATGACCCGAGCCGAAGGCAGCTGCTTAACGACTGAGCCACCCAGGCGCCTGAGAGAGCGAATCTTAAGCAGACTCCATGCTGAGAGAGGAGCCCAACTCGGGGCTCGATCCCAGGACCCTGAGACCATGACCTGAGCCGAAACCAAGAGTAGGAGGCTTAACCGACTGCACCATTCTGGCACCCTGAGAGAACATTAAAGCTCTACTTCCTTAGCAACTTTCAAGTATATAATATGGTGTTAACAACTATAATCACCAGGCTGTACATGAGATCCCCTCAACTTGTTCATCTTCTGACTGGCGGTTTGTACCCGTGGGCCACCATCTTGCCGTGTCTCCCGCCCCAGCCCCTGGTGACCACCACTCTACTCTGTTTCTGTGGCAGAAGCTCATTCTTCATCATGACACCACACTGCTGTTCTGGGAAGTGCCCTTCCTGAAGGGAAGTCTTTCAAGGACTATTGGAAGGGCAGCCTAGTGGGGGAGAGTCATGACTATGCCACCCCAAGGAGGTCTCGGTGTCTGAACATTCTGGGTGAAGCATTAGGGTGTGGGGTGTCCCTCTGTGAGAGAGTGAAGCTGTCTTCTCTGTTCTTGGCTGTGGTCAGGGGGAATTGACGTTGGGCAGTCAGAAGACAAGTAGCAGCTAAATTTGAAAATTGCTACTGTCTAAATCTGGAAGGGAACACTCAGCTCTCTTATAAATGTCAAGGCTGCTGACGCCTTTAGGGCAGGGACAGACGCTAGAAGCTGGGTGGGGACTGGCAGAGCTCAGGGATGTGGGACACTTGGAGGCCCTGAGATCGTCTTCTGCTAGCAGAGGGCTGGGTTCCGGGGAGGGGACCCCAGTCAGCAGGGGGCAGTGCTGGCCCGGGCAGCCGGGTCACCCAACCATCATCTTCTTCCCCTGTCCTGGGGCCTGAGGATGCTCATGGGGGGACTTGGGGCCGCCCGGTGTTCACGTTCTCCAGGCCTGGGGTTGCCAGATAGAATACAGGGTGCCCAGCGAGATGTGAATTTCAGATAAACAATGAATGCTTTTTTTAGTATAAATGCATCCCAAATATCTCTAAAAGTTTTTTATTGTTCTTTTGAAATACGAACTTAACTGGGTATCTTGTATTTTGGTTTGCTAAATCCAGCAAACTGATCCACGTCAGTGGTGAGTTTTTAAGTGAAGAATGTTGCATTCTTTTATTCCACAAATATTTATTGATCATTGATTACGTGTCACACACAATCCTAGGCACTGGGGTATATCAGTGACCAGCTGAGCGAGGTCTGCCCTCATGGAACTGGCAATATGGTGCGCGCGTGCGTGCGCGCGCGCGCGTGTGTGTGTGTGTGTATGAGGGGGGTGAGGTCACACAGGAGGCAGCAAGCAGACCATTTGCTGAGTGTTACAGGCCCAGGAAAGGAGGTCCAGCTGCCATCATCTGATTTACGTTCCATAAAGATCTGGAGAAGAGATTGTGCAGGGAGAGGAGCAGAAGCAAGAGGACCAGTTAAGGGGTTCCTGCAGTGGTCCTGACGAGAGACGGTGGTGTTTGCAGGAGGTGGTGACAAGTAGAGATAGAGAGGCCGGACATAGACTTCATGGCAGAACTGGCAGGACTCACTGATGAGTTAGGCATCGGGAAAGGGAAAAAGGAACTCCTGCAAACCGTCCTACAAACACTCCTGGGTTTGGGGCAGTGGGGTAGTCAGTCTTCTCTTTCTCAGGGCAGTGCCTTCCCTCTGTTGTCATGTCCTGGCTTATACAGAACACGGTATTTGTCCGGCATGTGGCTGCCAAGGGTGGGTTCCAGGGGCTCCGGCCCAACACTAGCCCAGCAAGCTTGTTACCCACTCACAGCAGTCTCCCGTGGAAGCTCTGCTTTGGGGGAGAATCTGCCAGCTGGAGCCCCACGCGGGCTGCAAAGGGCCTTCTGAGAGATGGAAAGTCACGCTGTGTGACACGCAGGAAGCACTTTCAGGGGGCACGGTATGCCCCCCCAAGCATCAGAGATAGAAGATTTCTAGCATTCAGGGCTGGGAGAGATTTTAGAATTGAACTTGTTCAACCCTCTTCCCTCCCTCTTTCCACGGAGGACTAAGAGATGAGCCGAATGGCATTTCTTGGGCACAAGTGCAGCTCTGCTAGGTGCTGGGTGACCGTGGCCTGGTACCCAGTCTGTGGCCTGAGGATACAGGAAGGGCGGGAAGGCTCCTGTATAGCAATTGGATGTCTAGGCATGTGATCATTAGGCTTGCAGGTTCTGTTTCTCGGTGTGTGTGTGTTTAAGTAATTCATTTTCTTTGTGTTTTACAGAAGGATTCCTTCAAGGTGGATTGAGGACCAAAAGAACAATAGCAACACGAGTTTCTTGGGCGGAAGCAGTTGTCTGGGAGAGTTACAGCTCATTCAGTCACATGACTGTCAGGGCGGCCTGCCTGCTCGCATTCCCTCCCACCTCCTCCCTCAGAAGCTCTAAGACGGTCTCAGAGACCTCAGGAACCCCAATTTATTCTCCAGCCTCTGTCCTGATAGGAAGAGAAGATGATTTTTCTTGTGGGCTTTAGCCTTTTGCTTTTCTGTGAGTACACTCATTGTGTACATTCCTCATGTCCTACCACCCCGTTTCCCTTTCTCTGACTTTAAACACTTGGCATGTTTCTCTCTACACTTGGTTTTCCAGTTATTCTCTGCCTTTGACTTTCATCTCTGTGTCCTCCTCCGGCCTCTGCCCATGGAGTTCCCTCTGGGTGGGCCTGTGTGGGACCCAGGACCTGTGGAGTGCGGGGCTTCACTATCTTCTATTTCTTCTCTTTGCAGACAAGGGCGTGCTGTGCGACCAAGTGACCCAGAGCCCCCCGGACCAGACGGTGGCCAGTGGCAGTAAGGTGACACTGCTCTGTACTTACTCCACTACGCAATCAAACCCAGGTTTATGCTGGTACCGAATACGGCCCGATCGCTCCTTCCAGTTTATCCTTTACAGGGATAACACTCAATCCCAAAATGCAGATTTTACTCAGGGTCGGTTTTCTGTGCTGCATAATCAGTCCCGGAGAACCTTCCACTTGGTGATCTCCCCGGTGGAGCCTGAAGACAGTGCCTCTTACTACTGTTCCATGGACCCCCACAGTGAGGCAGATGCTCAGGAAGTCTGAACATAAACCCCGGGCACAGCCTCCTCTGACTACCTCTTAGGGCAGCTCACATCCCCAGACATGGGATCCTTCTTCCCAGTTGTTTTGTGTTCCGGCCTGGCCTTCAGAGGTGCCCTAAGGAGTCTGCTGACTAATAAAAAGCCAGCTCCCCCTGGCTTTAGATGGAGCAGAGCACATCCCCCCTTCAGACTCAGTGGGCCCTGGTGGCGGCAGAGGGGGAGAGGGATGCCTGAAGAATTCTCATCTTTGTGTCCCCAGTGCCCAGCTCACTCACGCCTGACAGAGCCGGGCTGACAAGTATGTGCTGTGAGTCCTGGGAGGGTATCAGCATGGGGCAGGTGAAGGGCCAGGCTAGGGAGAGCTCACCAGGAGGGTCTTTATTTTAGTCTCCATCCTTTATCCCTTACTGTGAATTGGTCTGTTTTCTTTTTAAGACTCAAAATTAGACACAGAGTTACTTCAAACATTTTCACCGATTCACCTTTTTTTCTGCATCTTCTTGTACAGCCACCTTATTTTTCCTGAATGCTCTTTGACACCACCATTTTACTTACTCTGTTTGGAGAACATTTTTCTTTCACTGGAGAGCATTGAGATACTCCCAGAAAGTTGTCTGTGATTGCCAGAACCCCAGCTTCAAAGTCCCTGAGTCTGGAGCTCAAGGTTGTCTCCAAGGAAGATAATCATCTCCAGGGGAAGCCACTTATGTGATGTCAAAACAGATACACCCTAAGCCCTGGGAACGGGTCCCTCTTTCCTTCATTTCCATTGAACTCTCTGCCTTAAAACAACGATTAGAGTTGTGAGAGGTAACCTGGGAGAGGGTAGAAGCCTTAGCACTAGAGCCCAGAGACGTGAGGGCGTTCATTCCCAAGGTCAGAGAGTTGCCTAATGACCGAGCCAAGGGGGGGTGCCACACTTTTAGGGCTCTCCCCGGCAGCGGCGACCTAGTAGGCTTTATCAGTAGGTGTTCTGGCAGGAGTTTACCTAAGCTTCAAAACAGGGGGGCAAAGGGCAGTCACTATAAAGAGGAATGTAGAGGACATGGGTGAGGGAGCCGAAGGCCGTGGGCAACTGACTCAGCCTTCGGGTGTCTCTGTTCTGCCCACGACTGAGTGTGTGCAGCAATCTTCTCAGGGTTGTTGTGGGCTTAAGTGAGGTGCTGCATGTGAAAGCTCTGGAAAACTAGAATCCACAAGATGATGCCCCCCAGACCTGAAGACAGCCATAATCCCCTCCTCAACCTCCGGCTCCTGCCATTAATTATTTCTGGAGACTCCTTTTGGTGGAGGAAATTCGAGATCTTGTGATAAGCTAGGATTTTTTTTTTTTTGCCACCAAAGTGGACCAGAGAGGGTGACTCATTTATATGCTAAATATAGGACAATCCTGAAGTCCAGTCCAGCTGAAATCAAATCAACACCTTGTCCTTGTCTTGGGGGTGCAGTATGCTTTTGTAGAAGCAACTTTGGGCTGCAGCTCTTGATAATGTGGTTCTGCTCACAGCCCCGCCCTTGCCTCACTGAATGACTTTGGACAAGGTATATTACCTTTTCCGGGGGCATATTTTTTCCAACTGAAAAATCAGGATATGATCTTTTTGTTCTTAGCCACTCACAGAAACATGCTGATGTTGCCCAAGGTAACAGATGGAAATGTTTTGGAAAGAGGTGTTCTTTACACATATGAGGTGCAGTTGCGTGGAGTCTTTTTAATGGTTTTTCCCTGGCTGGACCTGCTTATCCACCTCGATGGTCCTAAACCCACTGACTCAGAGTGCTGCTGAGTCTTTGCTTTGGGCTGTGAAGACATAACATGGGAGTCTGCAGATGGCTATGGCAGGGGGAGTTAGTGAGGGTTGCTCTTTCACTTGTGGCCTCATAAACCCCCACTTGACACCCTACGTAGTGCCCTGGGTGCCAAAGAAACCACACTACTGTGGTGCAGGAGCTCTGCTACCTGAGCGGGTGCACTTGGAAGAAGCTATAGCCTTGCTGAGATGGGAGTAGCAGAGCTCATCAGCCGCAGAGGGGTCATTGCTGCGAAATAGCAGCGACAGCAGGAAACCCAGGCTAGGGTCCCCAAGGCGGAACCCTGCAGGCTTGGGGCTCAGGAAGCCGCAGCGTGACCTACAGGCTCAGTTTGGCTTCTGTCTGCCTAACAGAGAGCTCACAGCACCCACTTTACCCCTGCGGTGGTGTGTTATGAGTAAAGCTAGAGGCAAGGAGCACTCAATGCACTTTAATAAATGCAACAGAGAACAGCACTGGGAAGGGCAGAAAACCATCAACAACACGGGGCAGGCAAGAATCATCGTCCCCTGACCTCAAATTCTCTGTGCCCAGATTGGCAGGCAAAAAGATAATCTTTTTACAATCAAAATCCGAGGGGTTCTGTTCCTCTTCCCTCCCTCCAGAAACATTTGCACAGTTCATTGCTTGAAAGCAGGCCCACGTCTTACTCATCTTTGCACCCCCGGCACAGAACCTGGAACTTAGAGGGAGTTGATTCATGTTTGTTAAATTCACCAACAGAAAGAAGTGCATTTTCTCTGTATTTTACTCTGATCTTTGCTGATAGCTTGGAGAATATCTGGATGAGGTTTTAGAAACCCCACTGGCTGCATGAGAAGTCAAATGTAATTTTGTTTGTAAAGTACTAGGAAAAGCAGAAAGTGCTTTTGTGGCCGAGAATATGCCAGCTCAAGGCAAACCTAGTGCTGGGCTGAGCAGAGCCATTCATGTTAGGTAAGGCCCTCTGCTCTCCGTCCCCCAGGGTCTATTTTCCTAGGCGACCATGGAGCTGGGAATCTGTTGGCTCTCACTTTCTACTTCTGAAGGCAAAGAAAGTCAAAGGAACAAAACACCTTTTTCAAAGTGTATCAGTTGTAGAAATGAAAAAGAAAATGAGTCCTGTATCTCTTTATAAAGCAGCAAAAAGAGCAGTTAGGACCATAATAACCCCTGTACTCCCCAGGACTTTTGTCTTTCCACCAGGCTGGAAAATGAGCTGGGTTTGTTGCCTTCGAAGGAAAACTGCTTTGGGTAGCAGCCGTTTAAGCAAGGCTGGGATAGGTCAGCTTGAATCACCGAGTAGGCAGAAGCCTAGGAGACAGCTCCTCTGTAGGCTTTTGTGAAGACATAACGTGAGAGTCTCATAATGGAGCCTTCTCATGCCGGTCAGCCTGCAAGTGAAGGACAGTTGTCAGAGCATCATAGATCACCCACCATCAGTGCTGGGAGGAATCATGGTCCTCGTGTCATCTGGGGCTGGTCAGCACTTGCCGTGCTGTTATCATTGCAGATGTCACTTATCTATTGTGGCCTGGGTCCCTTCTGTACACCGCCATATTCAGCTAGTCAGTATTAGCTTGTCAATGTTGGGATAAGCCATGCAACCCATTTGCTCTCCTTAGTCATAGCTCCTTTGTTTTATGGATGCAAAAACTCAGGCCCAAAGAGGTAGAGCAACCAGGCTAGGGTAGCATAGTGTTAATGACAAGGTCAGGGTGAAAACCCACATCTTTTGACTCCTAGTGTAGGGCTCTTTTTAGATACCACACTGCCTGTGTCCTTGGGACTCCTGGAAACCAGTCACCCATTTGGAAGTGACTGGACATGTTTTCAGGCTAGGTTGGATCAGTCCCACACTCGAAATCCAGAGTTGTCCCCAGATTAGGAGTTGGGACTGAGGAGTCGTACTGGAGAAGGGGCTTTGTAGGCAAACCTAGGTCCCAGTTTGAACTTTATGTCTGAGATTACCTGAAGAGGGAATGCAAGTAGCAGGCAAATAATGTCTCAGCTGCAACTTTGTATGCATCTTGAGTAGCTAGCAGTGGGTAGGTCACTACAAATGGGGGTGTAGCTTCATCCCAAAGTTGGGCTGGTCTACACATTGGAGTCCTGTGATAAAGGAATGGGAGCTGGCATCCCTTTTGTCTAGGCTAAGGCAGGTTCTGGAAATTCTTTGGGTGAAGCTTTACTGATGGCCTTGCAAATAACCCATGGCCCCTTGGCCAGATAAACAAAATAGTAAATAAAGAAAACTATTTCTCCTTACTTAGCTCCACAATTTTTTTTAGCTCCTGGGTTGGAGGTGGGGATTATTGGCTGGTATTACATTACACAACATAATGCATTTTGAGTCTGGCTTGAAGTAAGAGGATAACAGGAGATGGGGTGTTATGCAGAGTATCTGAAGTGGCCCACCTTATTAAATCATAATATGTCTCTATGTGTTTTTCCCTTCCCAAGGCTTCTTGGCCTCTTATATTCCTAAACTCCCTTTCTCCCTGTGTAGCGTAGTTTGCATGGGGGGTAGGAATAAGAAGCAGCTAATTCTTACCTTAAAAGAAAAATAACTTGGCAGTCAAGAGAAAATTGATGGCCAGACTCTTGGCAAACACCATTCGGAGCCCCAGCACTGTGAGGGACAGCATGTTCACCTTCCCCGCTGTGAACTGTGAGCTGTGATGAACTGTGGTTGAACAAAAGTAAAGATGGTGGCTTTAGCAAGAGACTAAGTTGCCTTCCAGAAACTGGGCCCACAACACTGACAACCAGCCTCCTCCGAATCACCAGCATTGTGCCTGGTCTGCAAGCCCAGCTCGCTGCCAGACAGCCCTCCGGGACCCCAGGCTGCTGCTCACTCCCAGCCAGGCAAGCTTTGGAAACCCTTGCTTGCAGCCAGGCAAGCTTTGCTGAGAGACTCAGAGGGAACCAACTGGGCTCAGGTATGGTTTTTGCTCTCTTTTGAAAGCTGGAGACTTTTGGCCCCCTCTGAGAATGACAGAGTTTGCTTTAACCCTCAGTTCTGAAGTCGACCCTTGGTTTCAACTAACCTTTGGGCCCATAGAGGCTCTCTGAAGTTTGCTCCATGTTTTCAGGTTCTGTTGGTTTTACGTTACCTAGAACAAACAGCAGTGGTCAGGGATTCACTGGCAACCAAGAGGCTCAAAGGATTTCAGGTTTTAAAAGTGGAGGAGACTCTAAGTAAGTAAACTGAGGACCAGGGGTATGACTTGGTTAAGGTCAGACAGCTATTCACATAGCCAACATTCTTCCCATTCTGGTTTTTTTTTTTTGGTTATACTAGGAGGCCCACATTCAGGTATGCCTCTAATTTGTAGGAAGAACTAGGGTTCTCAATCCTATGATAGGCCGGGCTGCCCTTTGTTTGGCATTCACACTGGATTAGACTGCACATGAATTTTTAACCCAAAGTCTAGTAGTAGGACAATCATTAGTATGAAGAAGACAGTGGTTGGTGAAGAAGAGATGCAGGGGGGATGAAATAAGATGGGCTTTATCTCAGATTCCAGCCCAGGGATGCAGAGTTCAATTCCAAATCAATGGTGGGCCATAGTCGGGCCTCAGTCTTGTTTCCAGCATGATACCATATTAAGAGTGATCTGTCAAGAGTTTACATCTCCAACTTCCCTTTCCCTCAACTCTTCTTCCCTACAATTCCAGCCCCTTGAAACTAGATATGATCTACCTGAAGATTTTTCCTTTGGTTCAAAATCGGTGGAGCGCACAATTTCATTGTTGTGTTCGACTGAACAGGTCACTGAATTTGAATCTCCGTACCGACCGAGCTTGACAGCACTGTATTTCCCACTGGGAGAGATGACGATAGCAGGGTCAAATTCTATTAGTTTCTTGGATGATTCAAGATTTATGTTTACATTCTTAGGGTAGAAATCCTTCACCAGGCAAGCAACAGTCGTCCCATTTTTCATGGTGAAAACGGATGGTTTGGCAGGAGGCTGGCTTCCTGTAAATAGAATTAATTTATTTTGAAAGATGATTATCTGTAAGTGTGGGAGTTAAACAATGGTGGTTACCTCAATTCTGTTGGACCAAACGTTATAATCCAGACTTCCTTGCATCCTGTGTGTGACCTGGGCTTCTTAGCACCCTCATGAAGGGGTAGCCAAGGGAAGTAGAAATGAAAGGCAGTCAGTTTGACTTCTAGTTAGGAGCTGCTAAGTGAAATGGCTGAAGCAGGGATGGAAAAGAACAACTACAAATAAGTTTCTCGATCGTCTGAATTTCAATTATCTGTATTTTATTAATCAATCCTCTGGACAATTGCAGTCAGGCTGAGTAGCTTTATCAGTTGGTTTATTTAAAATGCATCAGCCCTTGGAGTGAAAGCAGGGTGGGTGCTTGTTCTTGGCATTGTGTCAATCAAAAAATCAGGTCTGAGAAGGACTACATGACTGGTTCAAATACTCTGAGGATGGTAGTGTTGGGGTCACTTCAGAATGTCATCCCCATTTTACAGCCTAGAAAGGATAACCACTGAAGTTAAGGGGTACATCTCTCTGCCTTTAGGTGAATACTTATTCTTTTGTAAGGGACTATCCTGCAGTTTCTTTTGAGTCTTTAATCAGAAATAACAACTATCATTCCCAGGAAGTCCTTATAGACATAAAACCAGTTTAAACCCAGATCTTGTTTTATTCTAAGTGAAGCTATCGAATGTTGGTTTCAATAATTGGATCTCCCTCTGGCCTCCTCTGCATTCATGCTTCACCCTGAACTCTACCATCTACCTGCCACTCTGTACCTGCATCTTCTTCTTTCCTTGAAACTGAAAGTTTTAAAGCTTTGAGGGAGGCAGTAATGATTCTTTCCCACCATGACTTATTCAAGTTTCTGAATTATGATAAATTTTGACCATGGAGACTTGGATTCTTAGTTTATCTTTAAATAACTGGGTTTTTGAAAAAAAGATTTTATTTATTTATTTGAGAGAGAGAGAGCCTGATTTACTTGTTGTGCGAGCATATGAGAGGGGGAGGGGCAGAAGGAGAAGCAGACTCCCTGCTGAGCAGGGAGCCTGATGCAGGACTTGATCCCAGGACCCCCAAAATCCGGACCTGAGGCAAAGGCAGATGCTTAACTGATTGAGCCACCCAGGCACCCCGATCTTCAAATAACTGTTAAAAAAGCGGGGCAGGGGGAGGTGAAAATGCCTGAAATCAGTAGAGACAACCAATCTCTGATGTTGCTCTGGATTTATTTCCATTCACAAGCTTAACTGCTGATTTTCCATATTAATTGCTTGTGTGAATATAGCTCTTTTATTTATTTATTTATTTATTTATTTATTTATTTATTTATTTATTTTTAAAGATTTTATTTATTTATTTGACAGAGGGAGACACAGCGAGAGAGGGAACACAAGCAGGGGGAGTGGGAGAGGGAGAAGCAGGCTTCCCACCGAGCAGGGAGCCTGATGTGGGGCTCGATCCCAGGACCCTGGGATCATGACCTGAGCTGAAGGCAGACGCTTAACGACTGAGCCACCCAGGCACCCCTATAGCTGTTATATTTAAAACTTCGGTGAGTTTTGGGGCCCCTGAGTGGCTCAGTCCATTAAGCGACCGACTCTTGATTTCGGCTCAGGTCATGATCTCATGGTGGTGAGATTGAGCCCTGCCTCAGGCTCCGCACTTAGTACAGAGTCTGCTTAAAATTCTTTCCCTCTCCATCTTGTCCCCCTTTGCCCCCACTGCTCGCACACTCTCTCTCTCTCTCAAACAAAGCAAATCAAATCAAAACAAAACAAAACAAAAAAACCTTAGGTGAAACTTGTGATATCCAATTAAAAATGTTTTGCATTCCAGTGTACTTTTGTTTACTATGATTTACAATCAAGACACAAGGTAATGCTAAATGAAAAGTCTTGGTAATGAGTGAGTAAATGCAATGATTTTTCTAATGTTCTGTCCTGAATTTGGATCTGGGCTTTGCTGTGAAGCTCATGGCAGTAGAGCTATAACCAAATTAATTGGTTGTGTCTGGTTGAGACGGAGTGTTTGCTAGTCTGGAAGTTTCTGCTGATCACCATTTTGTAAGTGGACCATGGCCAATCATGGCTTTCCTAGGGAATCAGCTGTTCCAAGAAAGCCCCTCATCGATTCTCCACTTCATTCTCTGCCTGGAAGCTCAGCTGAAAGACTGGGTTCTGTTTCAGGCACTCGGGCAAGGAACTCATTCCTAAGAATCTGGTTCCTTCCACTTTAGGCTTTAGCTCGAGACAAGAGGGCGGCTGGGGATTTTTTTCAAGGGGCTCTCCTAGAACCTACTTTCAACCTATGTGAGAAAACCTTCTTTGTTTTGCTTTCCAGTGAAGCCACTGATAACAGACACTGATAACTCTCACAGTAACGGCTTGAAAAACCACACGTTCTGCTCTTTCACCTGCCTTCAGACTTGCGACATTTCTTGCTCACTCTACTGACCTTGGTCTCATGTATTCTGGTTGATTTTCAAGGGAGTTATGTTGTACAGCGAAAGGAAACTAGCCCATTAAAAAATAAACAACAAAACAAAACAAAATAATCCTATCTCCTTGGTTACCTAAGAGTTTGACCCAATACTAGTCTGATTTACTTGGATAATTAAGGCTTGCTTGGGATTTTAAGGCAGTTGTCAATGTTCACTCTGGGCTAGAGACCTGGTTTGAATAATTTGAACAATGTAATACAGCTGACAAGACAAATGTCTGCAGAAGGTAATACACTTGTGGGATTGAGCTCTTAATCTGTTAGCATTTCAGATAACTCACAATGCATTCATTTGGTAAAACGTTTTTCTCAGACCCTCTTTCTCATTGAATACCTATCTGTTGAAAACAGTTGTTTGAAAGTAAAATGTTTTATCTAATCCATTCTTTGGTATCACGGTAACCAAAGAAAAGGTTATCTGACTGAATTGAACCTTTAAAAAAAAAAAAACGGAATGCATTTTATATTGTTGCCATACTCTTATTTTATATTTAACTTAAACCAAATCTGAAGTTGGGTAAAATTTGCACTATTGTAGTCCAAAATTTAAAGATCTAATTGTTTATTTTTTGAGAATTTCCAGTCTTTCTTCTTGGCCCACCAATATAATTACATTTCAACGTGGGTTCCAGAGGGCTATTTGTTTGAACAATTGTTTTATTTCAGACTTTCTCTTTTTATGAGTACCGATCCAATGCTAAGGTTATGTGCTGGTCAGCAATACCAGAAGTATATACCTTTCTTGAACAGTCTTTCTTAAGTTATACACGTGGAAATCATCTATGTTTTAGATTCGCATAGAGTCCTCCTGGCTCCCTAAGAATTGTACCATCTGTAACAAATGTCACTCACAATTTCAAGGCTCTTGGACAATATGAGATTTAACTTGAACACTGAAATACAAGTTTGCTCTACCTGATTACTCCGACCAGGTTAACCACCCCTCTCCTTTGAATCCAAACTACAGGACATTTGTTTTCAGGTTGCAATGAGGCATGTACACTAGTCAGCCTAGCCAAAGAGATGGGTAAGAATGAAACAGTCTTCTGGAGATTTTGGGCCAAAGCATCTCTGCATATCCCTCACTCCGCTCATATGCTCTGACAATTACTATAATTTTTCTGGTTTTCTTTTTTTTTTTTTTTTAAAGATTTTATTTATTTATTTGAGAGAGAGAGAGAATGAGAGACAGAGAGCATGAGAGAGGGGAGGGTCAGAGGGAGAAGCAGACTCCCCGCCGAGCAGGGAGCCCAATGCGGGACTCGATCCCGGGACTCCAGGATCATGACCTGAGCCGAAGGCAGTCGCTTAACCAACTGAGCCACCCAGGCGCCCCAATTTTTCTGGTTTTCTTGGCTGCTCTGAAGATTTCAGAAATAAGTGGGGCCTATAGTTCCCCCCCTTTTTTAAAGTAGGCTCCACACCCGGTGTGGAACCCAAAGCAGGGCTTGAACTCACGACCCTGAGATCAAGAACTGAGCTGAGATCAAGAGTTGGATGTTTGACCGACCGAGCCACCCAGGCACCCCAGGGCTATAGTTTTAATATATGCTTTTTAAAAACAAAACTAGTTGCAGAGCTACTTCAGTGACTCAGCCTGGTGACTTTGCTGGGGCCTACCCCCACGCCTGGGCTGCTCCATCTAGTTCTACTATCCCAAGTAATGCAAACTGGATGGCAGCCCCAGTGCCAGGACTCAGTTTATCCCTAGAAATATCGGGGAAAAAAGTCAACTCACGTGGCTCCACGACGAGTCTGGTGCCAACTCCAAAAAACATCTGTCGAGTATCCCAGGAGCACATCGCGACAGCGCCTCACAAGTAACCAGCCTGGGGCTGGCCTTGGGACCTGCGCTAGAACATCTGTGCCCTGCCTCCGCTGCCTGGGTCCCAGCCTACAGACCCCACAACTCAGAGCACTACAGAGCTGCCCTTGATGAGATCAAGGGGCACAGAGTCTCAGTTCCCTTTGAAGCTAATAATAGTTTGCTGGATGAGGTTGTGAGCATGAAATCCCAGCCAGGAGGCACAGGGACAGGGGACAGGGCTGACACAGAGGGAGAGAGGAAGGTGACAGGTGACTGGTAGCTGCCTTCAAGATGGACAATTCAACTCCCAGTTTATTGGGGGGCCTCTCCAAGAAGAACACGATAGCTTGGGAACAGGGATGGGGCACTGACTGGCGACATTTCTTATAATGAGTGTCAGGCTGAAGAGGGTTTAGACACAGGTCTTGTTCTCAGATTCTGGTTCCTTCTCTTGGGTCACAAATTCTGCTTTTTTGATTGGAAACCTAATTTCTTCCCCATCACTCAGACTGAGTCTCACAATAATAAGGAATCTGTCTCCTAATTCCCTGAGCTCAGGGAAAGGCTTTCTAAGGATCTGAGGGTTGAACAAGAAGTTGGTAGCCGACGGGGAGCCCAGTAGTGCCGTGGGTCACGGATGCGGGTCAGAGAAGCTGGTGCTTGCTTTGAACTGTTTATTTTCGCTTTGTAATTTCTCCTGTCTCTGGATCCAGATACAATTCAGGAGGATATAGTAATCATATGAAATGGAATTTAAAGACCATATGGATTACTCTGTCTCATCACCAGAAATCAAGAGTCTAAGGCTAGAGCCAAAGGGAATGACGGTTGTATAGGGCCATTATTTGCTGTTAAAACTTTAAGGATTGAGGGCTTGACTTGAAATTCTCACTTTCCCTACCTGAGCTTCACATAATCATATTACACTCCATCATGGAGAGAAAACTAAAGAAGTAAATGGAGTATCACTGGAGAGCATGGGTCAGTGTCCCAGCAGCTGGGCTAAGCATCACTTTCATCTCTTTCCTTCTTCCCTAAGGCTCCCAAAGGCATAGCCTCAGAGATTTGATTCCAACACTGCAGATAATTCTGAATTTCAAGTGGAAATGATTTAAAGGGAAAATGAAACACAATACTTTGTGCTCAGATGCAATTTGCCCAACATCGATCAGACTGCCATCAGCTACAACACGATTGTTGCCCTCCTTCTTCCTAGTCTCTCTCCTCTCAGAGACAACTCACCAAATTCCGCTATTTCCCTGGAAGCAACAGGCAATCAAGAACCCCTATGAGGTCATTTTTCCTTCTGAGAGGCAGACGCCGTGTTGACACTTCATGTACATTTCCCCATTGCTTTATTTCCTCTGAGATAAAATTTAACCAGGTAAGGGCAATGTCTGCATTTTGAAAAGCTTCTGAAAGATTACTGTTCTCTGGATGCATCCCAGTGACTGACTATTGGTAGCTATGCCACATCAGCCCTGGATTTCCGAGCCCTGGAACAGATTACCAGTGGAAAATATCCCTAGGAGAGCACCATTACTTCTCTATTGTCCTGAAGTTGGTGGCTGTGATTCCACATTGGATTCTACAGGCTCCTGAACCCTACATCCAGAGTAGAGTCTTCAGATTCAGGGCTAACAGAAGAGATGAGCACATTAACTGCTTTTGGCCAACCCAGACTAGGAGGGGGCTTTGGGGATCATTTAGTCTGAGCCAGGCACACTGACTTAAAGCAAGTTCTCAGCAAAAAGACACAAGGGAAGATTGGCTTTTGTCATCTGAGGGAGAGAAGACTATCTTGATCTAACTCCTTCTTTAAAAACATTTTTCTTCTTTTTAACTGTTCCTCTTCTTACACCGTGGCCATGATTCTCTGTCCTCATAAACAGTGGAAGACTGTCCTCACCTAGAGCTTGCCTTTTCCCTGGTCCTAATCCCTGACAGAGGAAGGGACCAAAAGGCTGACTAAGGGCTTTATTTGGGCTGTTGTAGAAGGCTTATTGCTACAAATCTTCAGAACAGAGTTTCTATGCATGCACAGACTATTTTCCTAAGGGAAACCTAATGAATTTGTCCTCGGATTTTACCTTGACTCTCTGCAACAACAGAACAATGGGTTTTCAGTTTGGAACCTCCTGACTTCCCAAGAAGCTCCATTCATTCAGGGCTAGGCTACAACAAGTCCAAAGGAATATATGCCCTGAAGTAACATGTATAACCTACTTGGTTCCACGATGAGTTGAGACCCTCTTCCAAAGACAAGTTGTGCTTCATTACACCACCTCAGACATCATTACAAAAACCTCGCTACCTATTTGCCCTCTGCGTGGTCCATCTGTGTGGAAGGGGTGGGTGGAGCAGAATGAGTGTAGCTGGAGACATAAAACTCTGCAACAGTGTCTGAGATCTAAGCATTATATTTTGGCAGCTTGTTTGATATGTGTTATCTTCTGAGCGTTGGCATTTAGGAAAGTCCCTGGGTTTTTTGCTATTACCTCCTCAACCTGCCATCACTTACCCCCTGATCTTGCTTCAGGGTCACATTTTCACAGAGAGAAAGGGATCATTTTGGCTTTGCCCAGAACTGACAAATGGCTACTATTAGTGGAAACATAACTATGAGGTTCAAGTCAATGATAAAGGACTATGCCTCAGTTAGAGGTGGAAGATCATGATGGTTGGAGCAAGAGCCGTTGATGCAAAAGATTGGAGCCTACCCAAAGGGTCATAATAATCATAGATGCCTACCATTTGTATAAGTGCTTTGCTACTTACAAATGTCTTGTGTTTATACTATCTCAGCAAACATTACTGTAACAAACTCCATGAGGTGAGATGATTAGATCCTTCTTACAGATGAAGTCCCTGAAGCTAAGTATGGTTAAGATAGTGAGTGGCTGGGCTGGGCCTTACTCCCAGGTCTCCAGACTCTAGTTTCCCTGCATTTAACCAGAGTAATAGATGATAGGACTGGAAGGAGCCTCAACAGTCAATTGTCAAAACCTTTGTGATGACACAGTATTAATGGACACATAGGGACAGTTTGGATTCCTTTTCCAGTACCTTTAAAAAAATCAAATCATAGAGGTGCGCCTGGGTGGCTCAGTTGGTTAAGCATCTGCCTTCAGCTCAGGTCATGATCCCAGGGTGATCCCTGCTCAGTGGGGAGTCTGCTTCTCCTTTTGCCCCTACCCCTACTCGAGCGAGCGCGTGTACGTGCTCTCTCTCTCTGTCTGTCTCTCAAATAAGTAATGAAATCTTAAAAAAAAATCAAATCGCAGAATTCTTACTGGGTCATAAGACACAGCATTGGACTTTCTTGGTTTCCTACTAAATCTTCCCTAAGAATTGGTCTGGATGATAATCAGAATCATCGTGGGCTAAAGCTGGAAGACACCTTAGAAATCACTTGGCTTACCTAGAGGGAAACTAATGTTCAGTGAAGTCAAGTCAGAGAGCTAGTCAGTCAAAGATAAGGATTGGAGCTTGGTCTTTGAAATATTGGTCTGACATGCTCATCATCACACCTCTCATTTACTAGATGTATTTAGTACAGGCCTGGTTATGACCTGGGTCTGTAAATGGTGAATGCACAGGTGGTATGTTGGTTATCTAAAGTTAGTCGGGTGGAGGGAAGACAGCACATATTCTCCAGGAAAGATCGTGGGTCGAGAGGACCACTGCAGCACATACCTCATTCTGGACCTTATCAGAGACTCAGTCCCTGTTCCTCAAACCATCCCTTGCTAAATTACATGCTGGCTAGATCTTTTCAAGTGTTTCCCAAGCTGGTGACTTGGGAAAATATTTAACAAAGATAATTGCTAAAAACAGTGGTCATAAGAAGGAAAAATGAGTCACTTACATGGTTCCACCTCCAGATAGGTTCCTTTGCCAAAGATCAGTGGATCAGTTGTGCTGGAGAATGAGCAGCTGATAGACCTTATCTAAAAACTACCTTGCTTTCTTTTTCTGGCAACCCTGGCGCCAGTTGCCAAGTCATGTGATGGATAGTGGATGGTATTTGTGTCTCATCTGGACTAACCTCTTTGTTCTTCAGTCTTGGAGGCTATCCTTCAGGACCAAAGCAGGAGGTGATTCCTGTGTCAAATAGAAATCTGAACCTTTGCCTTGTTACAGTCTGAATCTGTGCTCTGAATGAGAGAGACTGGAAAAGAGTTTCTTAGTATGAGCAGGAGAGAAGAAAGGTGGAACGTTGGTATAGAGTAGCAGTTCTCAGCCTTTGGGTTATACTTAAGTAGGGCAAAGATCTAGTGAGTTATGTACCTCACTCATTCCTCATTCCTCATATCCAGTCAGAGCTTTGCATCATTGTCAAGCATTGTGCAACAGCTAGACTTCTTAGTATAAAATAGACTTAGAATCTTCAGTGCATTTAAATAACATATTCATGAATATCACATTGTAGCAAGCTTTCATGATCTACTCACACTTAAAAGTGACAGTTAAATTAGCCTCTGTCATATGGAAAAATCAGAGTCTGTAAGAGTGCCCGTGTCACTTATAAAAACCAGGGAGAGAATATACATTTTCAGATCCATTACAGCCCATAAAGGACTGAAGATTGTACTTTGAGAATCACTAAAATGGAAAGTGAGTCTCAGTTCTGGTGAAGTAGAAAGATGTCAGAAGACCTGAAATCTAGCTGGACTCTGCTCCTCACTGAGCATATAATCTTAGCCAATTTCAGGGAGCCTCATTTGCCTCTTTTATAAAATGAGGGTAATATCTTCTGTATTGGGGGTTCCTAAGATGAAATGATAGGGTGTATATAAAGCACTCTATAAACTAGAAAGCCTTGGTGGGATGACTGGAATGTTCATTAATGTTAGACTCAGAGAAAACACGTTTTACTTGAAGCAAGGGGTGGAATTTCCCTAAGCACAGAGCTTCCCAGGGGTAGGATGGTAAGGAAAGTTCACTAAGAGAAAATAGGATCCTATTTTTTTAGAATTTAAGAAGAGAGTGCTCACTTCTAAGGGCTGTGGGTGAGGCCAGGAATCCATGTTTCTGTCTCCCCTGGTCTTTTCTGGGGGTCAGGTGTGACCTCCATTCCATTCTCCAGTCTTCCCTTTCCAGTCCCCACACTGGAGTCCTTATGGTGGCCCATGAGCTGCCTCGTCCCCAGGCCCATTACCAACCTGACCTCATTTTCAAATTCTCTCCCCGTCACTTCCACTTTCCTCCAGCCACACGGGCCTCCTCACTCTCCTTCACACGCTCCAGACAGCACCGCGTTCCCCCGGCCTGGAGGTGCTCTTCCTCCAGATATCTGCGCGTGGCTCACTCGGTCACCCCCTCAGGTCTTTGCTCAAATGTCACCTTTCCAGTGAGGCCTTCTGTGTGACTCCTCTGTTAAAAACTGCACACTGCTCCCTCTTCTCGTCTTCTGCATTCCCTTTCCTGCTTTATTTTCCTTCACGGGGCTTATTACCACCTAAAATACTATATATTTTATTTATTTATTTGGATTACCATCTGTCTTTTGCCATTAGAGTGAAAGCTCCAATAAGGCATCAATTTTTGTCTGCTTTGTTCATGCTGATCACTCAGCAGTGAGAAGAGCGCCCAGCAGACAGGGACGGGGACTTGTCACAAGTTGGGGAGCAAGGACTTGGCTTTACCTCTGCAGGTTCCTAGTTGGCTTTTATTTCTGTTTCCCTTTGCCTTACGCCACGACTGATTATCCTTTCACTCATTCATTCATTCAACAGACATTTATTTAGTGCCTTCACTGTATTTGTGGATACAGTGAGGAACAACTCAAAGTCTTTGCCCTTAGGGAGTAAAGGAGACAGATGATCAATGAGCATCCGAAAGTGTCGGGTGGAGATGAGGGTATAGAAATGAAGCAGGGTAAGGGGACTATAGGGGGTGATTGGAGAAGGTGTCAGTAGAAGTGACAAGACCTGGAGAAGGAGAGCGAGAGAGTTTTGTGAATCCCTGGGGAGGGGATTAAAATAGGGGAGAAAACAGTACAGGGCCAAAGGCACTATCGGGCACAGGCTCCATTCTGAAACTGGTGGTTGCCGGAGGGGGGGGGTGGGGGAGGAGCAAGTGGGGGAAGGGGAGCAGGAGATAAAGGCTTCCAGGTATGGAATGAATAAGCCCTAGCATAGGATAAAGGCACAGTAGAGGGAATATAGTCAATGGTATTGTAATATTGTGTTGTACAGGAACAGATGGTAGCTACGCTTGTGGTGAGCAGAGCGTGATGTATAAACTTGTCGAATCACTATGTTGTACACCTGAAACTAATATAACATCGTGTATCAGCTACACTGAAATTAAAAAAAAAAAAAACACTCTGTTCTGGGAGATGTTCATCGTGAGTGAGAGGGAATGCCAAAGGCAGGAATGAAAAGGTTAACTCTTGGAATTTTAGAAACACATTAGTGATCCTGGGATTTTCTGGACTCCTTTTTTCTCAGGATCATCTGAGCATTGTTTGGATCTTTCTGAGTATCTCGACCCTCGAATCCAGGGGTGTAGTGTGAGGAACGGGCCTTGCCTGGAGAATACCTCTTTGGGTAACTGGTTTTGGTATGGCGGTGGGAGGAGCGCTTCCTTGGTGAAGGACTATGGTGGAGATGGTGGTTGGAAGGGAAACAGCCTAACGGTGGCTTTAGACTCTGCCGGCGGCTTGGAAAGGAGCCCAGTAGAGGAGGAGGGGGAGGCTGGGCCATCGCAAGAAAGGCCTCCATGTGTGCCTCAATCAAGCTGCAGTCTCCACAGAAACGACAAGTTCTGGAATGCACAGATGCTGGAATCAGACAGATGATACACATTTTGACTTTGCTAAGCTCTGTGGTCTTGGAGAACCTGCCCTCCATCTGTAAACAGGCAGGTCATAGTTCCACATGGTCATTGTGAGAAGTGCATAAAATGACATTCATTAATAAAGTGCCTCGTCCAGTGGCCTGATACACAGTAGACACCCAGAAAGTGGTAGTTGATATAGTGATGACATATAATAATATATATTCTTCTTTTTTTTTTTTTAAAGATTTTATTTATTTATTTGAGAGAGAGAATGAGATAGAGAGCATGAGAAGGGGGAGGGTCAGAGGGAGAAGCAGACTCCCCTCCGAGCAGGGAGCCCGATGCGGGACTCGATCCCAGGACTCCAGGATCATGACCTGAGCCGAAGGCAGTCGCTTAACCGACTGAGCCACCCAGGTGCCCAATATATATTATTCTAAGTGTATCTCATGATCCACTTTCATGAAGATGCTCCTGAAGCCCGTGCTTCTTTTCTAAGCTCCTCTCATTGTCATGGTCAGTAGCAGACATTTACATTGTGGCTTTTTCTTTCATGCTCTCTTGTCCTGTTCTCTGGTTCTGTTTTATGAAGTTAAGAGGCATCCCCTGGTTTTCTCTATCCAGACGGCTAAAAGGTTGATGGATTTGGGGCTGTGGGTTTGCGGGCACAAAGCTAACAAATGGAGACTAGGGAAATCAGTCACTAACCTCACATGGAATGTGGATAAATTATTATTTTAGTGAGAAATTTTAAAGCCAGTGAGGTGTAAGGGCAAAGGCCTGAACTAGTTGAATCTTCAAAATTTTGCTATGATTTTTTTCTTTTTCTTTTTTTTTTTAAATCTGAATTTCTCTGCTCCGACTATGTCAACACAGCTTTGGATCTCTATCTCTTTCTGGATGCAGAGCCCTACCCCACTTCTCCCCATAGTGTGTGCAGTCTGGGAATGACCAGCCAGCACTCCTTCCTTTGTTGTTGTTGTTTTTTTTTTTAAGATTTATTTATTTATTTTTAGAGAGAGAGAGGAGAGTGAGAGAGAGTGTGAGAGCATGTGAGCAGGGGGAGGGGCAGATGGAGAAAGAATCCTGAAGTAGACTCTGTGCTGAGCGCACAGCCCGACACGGGGCTCGATTCCAGGACCCTGAGATCATGACCTGAGCTGAAATCAAGAGTGGGATGCTTAATCAACTTAGCCACCCAGGAGCCCCTTGCCCTCCTTATTTTCCCTTCTTCTGCCCTCAGTGGTATGCCTCTTGAGCATTATCCACCCAGGCATTCTCTGAGGGGAGCCCACCCCATCACATTCTCCCTCTGCACCTCTCTGGAACCTACTTTTACCTTGGAAAACACAAGCTGAATGCCAAGCACCAGGCCAGAGTGTGCTGTCTCTTGTCTAGTAGCCCCCTCAGCAGGTTTGGGACCACTGACCCCACTCTTAGACTTCCCTAGATCTTTGGAATGGGGTTTTGTATTTGTTTTTTACATTTGCTGGCTTAATATTAATATCCACTATCTAACTGGAAGCTACTGCCAAAAAGAGACTGCCTTTTTTTTTTTTCCCCAACCGCAAGACACGGTTGGATTCAAATGTCACTTAAATGACACAGAAAGATGCCTTCTGTGTTGAGTGCAATCTTTTGACAACTTTAGCATTGATTCTTTTATAACAGTTAATTAGTGAGTGGCACCAGATCCTCTTAGTGAGGGAGACGAACACCATGAGTCCTTAGGGAATTGCTCCTTCCTGTGTCCTATAGGCTTTAAAGCATTTCTTAGTTGGAAGCATTACACATTCACTTTGTTCTGCTTGGAATCTGGTCTCACTGGGAACCAGAATGTTCCCACTTCCTCACGAGTAACCTAGCTTCCATTTGCAGCTCAAACAATTAGAAGCAGATGTCTGGTTCCTTTTTTTCTGAAGAGAAATGTAGCAACACCAGTGACCACCGTCTGGCCTTACCCTCTATGGTCAGCTCTCTCTCTCTCAGCCTAAAGTAGGCCAGAATTATTTATATCTGGAGAATTTTGATAGAATCACAGACTCAGATCAACCTTTTTCCTGATTAGTTCTCTCCTTGGGGAGTTAAGCCAATGACTCTGGTCTCTACAGCCTGACCTGAACCCCACAGATCAGGCAGAATTTTCTCAGTTTCTTCAGAGCTGTGTGGTTCTTTCACAGCCCGGATTCTATTTTTTTAAGATTTTATTTATTTATTTGAGCGAGAGAGAGAGGGAGAGAGAGCGAGCACGAGTCCAGGGCAGAGGCAAAGGGAGAGGGAGAGGGAGAAGCAGGATCCCCACTGAGCAGGGAGCCCGATGCGGGGCTCGATCCCAGGACCCTGAGATCATGACCTGAGCTGAAGGCAGAGGCTTAACCGACTGAGCCACCCCGGTGACCCCAGACTCTATTTTTTTTTAAACCGACAAACCTCCTCCCAACTCCTATCGAGGGGACTGACCATAGTTCACATCTTCCCTACAGTCCTCCTTGACACTATTTGGGTGCTATTACTACCCATACATATCCTGATATTTCTGCCCCTTAAATGGAGGAGCCTCTAAACTCAACAAGCAGACAAATGAGTTACTTACGTGCTTCCACGGTCAGGCGAGTCCCTTTTCCAAAGAAGAGCTTGCTAGTAACACAGCAGTTGAGGCCATTCCAAAAACCTCAGCGGCCCTCCTCGGGAGCTCCTCTTCCTATTAGCTTTAGGACTGGAGGGTCTTTAGGGCTCAGCTCTTAGAAAGATGGCCCTCAGTGCTTATTCAACTGGTTTATGACGATTTAATCAATTGCAGGTGGGGTGGGCTTGCTTTGGGGAGGCTGTTGACTGAGGAGAAGGGAGGAGCATGTATTCCTACAGTGAGCATTTCTAGTATAGCATGTTTCATGATGTTCTCTGAATTGTTGCTTTCTCTTGTTTTAGATTGTTCTCACTCCTAGACCCACCCCTAACTCTCAGTCTTGGAAAACCGACATTGTCAAGAAGATGGATCTTGGATTCATGACTGTTCCAGAGTCAAGGCCTTCACATCCCCCAGTACTGCTTTAGACACAGACAGCGTTTGGCATAACAAGGGGTGATGGGGGTGGCGTGAAGCCCTGATGAGGTGCCGGGGATTTACGCTAGAGTCAGCATCAGAGTGAACAACTATGGCTGGCGATTGCCTAAAAACCAATCAATCTCTCTTTGAATTTGTCTTCCCAAACTGCAAAGCCAAGCACTCAGGCAAATCTCTCTAGGGACTTGGATTCAGAAAGTCCATATGAGGTGGTTCATATAACTCTTCCCATAGAATCAACACGGACCAGGACAATAATAGTTTCTAAAGAGACACCTTTTTGTATTCTCCACATGTGGCTGTAGGAACATGTTGAAACGCCGGTTTCATCCGAGGGAGTGAGAGGCCAGCAGCTGGGGGTCACTTCTCCTGGTCCAGTCAACTTCCTGGTGTCCCTCCTGGGTCCCTGAGCAAAGAGGGGTGGCTTCCTGCAGTGTTCATCCCCTGAGGCTTGGTAGCCAGGCTGAGGGTTTCCCAGGGAAATGCTCTACAGTTTTTGTATAGGTCTCTGTGGCTTTTGTAGCACTGTGGGTATCCCTCCAATCACAGTGCTACGGAGCTTTACAAAAACCTCCCCTGGTTTCACTCTGTGTGGCCTCTGAGCGCCGCTGGGGCCTGATGTTTTCTCCAAGTCAAGCTCTGGCAAGCTGAAAGGGTTTTGGCTGCTAGGGCAGGGCAGGCTTGCCCAGTTGCTTCTGTCTTCTGCCCAGAAGCCTCTGCCAAGGCTTCTCTGCCTTGTTGGCCGGATCGGCCCTGGAGTTTGCGACTAGAATGGTCATTCAGAAGTCATCACATCCGTTCCCATCTGTGCTTTCGGGCCAGTCTCCTCTCAGATGGTTTCCCATAGAGGAGTTTGTTAGATTTCTGGATGTCTCAAGTGGATTCTGCATGCTGTGGGTTGGGCAGAAAGTGTCTGTGGTCAGTGGAATTTCTCCTGTGACCTGCTAAGCCTCTGATTCACCTCTGCCTGCCCCACTTTATACCTGAATAGTGTTATATAGTTTACAAAGGGCTGTCATATAAATTTAAAATTTCATCCTCTCCATTGACTCCCTGGTTGCTAAATCCAGGGCCAGTAGCCCATATGGTGCTTTGTGTGATGTTGAAAAGGCGACCGTGCTGGGCAAATGCAGAGGCAGCCCCTCGAGTTCAAGCTTGGCAGACAGATGGCACCTTTGTGTGCTTTATAAAAGCTGTCCCTTTCTCCAGCTGATGCAGCTCCGCACCGGGTCCTCGGCTTGGCTGGCAGAGCGCGAGCTGAATTTTAGCCCTGCTTGTCCCCTCAGCTGAGTACCCTTGCGTAAGGCATGGCCCATGGAATAAGCACGGCGACCCTGGCCCAATTCAGTGGATTCTTGTTATTTATATTCTTGTCTGACCTCTAGTTTTTGACAAGTTATTCCCTTTTCGAAAACTCCTCTGGGGCCCTCCATACACTGGTCCCTGTTTGCCTGTGAGTTCTGTGTCTATCACTGTGAAAACAAAGTGACATTATTAAATGATAACCATTTAAGGAGAGTGTGCATTTTACTGCTGTTGCTATCAAAAGGGACCCAGATTTTAAAAAGGTTTATCTTCACACTCGCTCTAGAAGATCTTATGCAAATCCACGGCTTGATTAAGTCATCACAATTTTACTTACAATCTTTGTGACAACTCCTTCCCACCCTACATACAACTGCATTCCTGTCCCATATATTCCAAGCAACTGCATTTCCATATACAGAGTCTAACATTCTTTTGTTGAAGAAAAAAACAAAACCAAACAATGCCCCCCTCCCCCCAGAAAACCAAAGAGCAAATAGGAAAAAAGGAAAAGAAGAAATGTTATGCTCTCAGTATTAATGTAATGGGATGGCCTTGGATAGAAAGCAAGGAAATGTGGGTCTCATGGGGAGGGCCAGAGGAGAACAAGGAATTGCAACCTGAACTCTTGAGTAGAACTGGTTTTAGGTGCTAAGGTTTGAAATGGCAGGAGGTGGGTGGTTACTGTGTTGGATCACGAATTAAGGTGCTGGTTAACCCCCGTGAGACTCACCGACCCCTTCCTAGTGCTGGTATAAAGCTTTCCCAAGCAGCCATTAGAAACTGGTTTGAATAGAACTAGTTATAGGAAACAAAAAGTTGGGGATGAAAAAGCAGCTGAACTCTGGAGTAATGCCAAAGCTTAAACCAGGCAACCGTATGGTTCTGGGGCAGTGACTTTTACAATTCCCTGGCTGTGGCAGAGATCTGGGGTGACGAAGCCTGATGAGAATGTGCTTGTTGTGGCTTCCTAACTCTTCACTCCCTCCCAGCAATGGAAGTGTGTGCCCAGGTACTTTGCCCATGACTTTGCAAGGCCTACTACAAGCAGAGTATACATCCCACTCTATTGACTCTGGGGCTTGGCCGTGCTTGGACTGATCAAACATGGGTGGAAGTGACAGTGTGCGAGTCCAAGCTGGAGCTCCAAGAGACATCCCATCATGGATTTTCACCATTACTTTTAAACCTCTTTCTTCTGCGATGAGAGGAGCGTGCTCCAGCCTGGGTCCTAGAATGAAGACATGCAGAGAAGACCTGAATCCAACCCACATCTTGAAGCCAAGTCCAGCTGGACTGCAGAACACTGAGCAAAAGCGATGTATGTTTGTTGTTGGAAGTAACCGGCAATTCGGGATTGTTACAGATCATAATCACAGCGGAGATAGCTAATTAATACAGATGCTAAGCCTTGGGGGGAATCTCGAATATGAAATTACATGCTTGAAATTATTGGTAGCTCCCCAATTACTTCAAGGTAAAATGATATGGAACACAGGCTTTTGTCTACCAACCAGGCCTACATCTTGTACTTTTCACTTGCTCCCTTGAACTCAGCTGCACTGAAATACTTGCTTCCTGAAAGCTCCATGTTCTTTCATACCTCTTTGCCTTTGCCATGTGATTGCTTTTGCCTGAAAAGCCCTTCCCTTCTTTGATTTCCCAGTTTGGCCCTTAACCCACTTCCTTAGATCCTATTCATTCTCTGGTCTTAGCTTTGCTGGTGAATTCCCTGGGAAGCCCCAGATGATAACGGAAGACTGGACTGGGTTATATACCCATCCTTTCCCTCCCTGCAACAGAAGTGTGCAAAAGAGAGTTCATGAAACCTATTTTGCTCTCTTTTTCATTAGGTAGAGATCCTACCTAATGAATCCCTAGAGAGAAGGGATTTGTCTGGTTCATCTCTACATTCTGTGCCGGGACAGTGCCTGCCTCAGTGAGTGCTCAGAAAGTGTCTTCTGAATCCATCCTAAGGATGAGATATCTCATGTTCAGAGAAGATAAGTGAGGAAGTGACACAGCCATGGCCAGAACACATACATGCCCAATTCCGAGTCCCTAGCTCTCAGGCTGGCACCAGGCTGCCTTGTGGAACATCACCTACACTTGTGTAGTGGGCCATAGCAACATTCGTTGTAAGCAAATTGATTTTTAACATTAGCCCGAACTCCGCATCATCAGGAAAATAAATTTGTTGTGATTTGCTGCACACCATGAAATATATTCTAATGTCACATAGAAATGAGTTTCACCTGGTCTACATTCAAGTCACGTTCTTTTCCATTAATGTGAGTCATCAAGGATCACTCGGGTCTCTGGGGAGGAAGCCTGGAGTGTCATGGCTGGGGGAGACCTCAGCGATCATAATACTCAGTTCCTTCGTGTTCAGATGAAAGAGTCTAGAAAGATCTAGAGAGCTTTCACAACTTCGCCAAGACACCCAGTTTCAAAGAAGCATACAAGAAATCAAGTACCCCAGTTCCTAGTCCAGTGGTATTTTTTGGCACACCTAGGCAAATACCCAGTCTTTTTTGGTTTTTATTTTGGCCTTTATCATTTGAAAGTGTTTCTGGCATTTATCATTTGAAAGTGTCTCAGTCTAGGGCGCCTGGGTGGCTCAGTTGTTAAGCGTCTGCCTTCGGCTCAGGTCATGATCCCAGGGTCCTGGGATCGAGTCCCATATCAGGCTCCCTGCTCCGCGGGAGGCCTGCTTCTCCCTCTCCTACTCCCCCTGCTTGTGTTCCTGCTTTCACTATGTCTCTCTCTGTCAAATAAATAAATAAAATCTTTAAAAAAAAAAAAAAAAGAAAGTGTCTCAGTCTAGCTGACCTCCTTCCCTGAAGTGGCCAGAGACTGGCCTGGACAATCTGCCATTTTCTTTTTCTCTGTGGTGTTACAGTGTCGTATGAGATGCTCTTCTGTGGGAAAGGGAAGGAGCAGACACAGAGCTGGTGTATCCTAAAGTTCAGCTCTTCCTGGAAGGAGGCTGGGCCTTGTTCTCAGTGCTGGGCAACCTCATTCTCTGGGCGGGGTGGGGGGGGGGGAGGTTGGTGGTGTGTGTGACAGAGGAACAGAAACTGTGAAAACTGGGCTTCCATGGTATTGTCCAGTCCCAGCTAAGACCAGGCCCCATGCTCAGAGACTCCCAAGCACTTTGAGAAAACTCATGGGATACCAAGACAAAAATGAAGTAGGGGTTGGTCAGGGGCATCCTCCAGGTTGGAAATATTTGGGATTGAGGACTTTGAACTAGCTTTATTTATTTCCACCTCTGGCTCCTTGACATGTATTCTGAGGGTTATAGACAAACTGCAGAATATTCAAAGGAGAATACCAACCTGTTGAAGATACTTCATATCCAGTACAGGAAGGAACAGCTAGAAAACATGAGTGAGTGTAGACCGAAGGAAGGGAGATACTGGGTGTGTTTGATCATATTTGAATATATGTCAAGGTAGAGCTGGCTTATTAGAAGGCAGCTGGATTCTCAGGTGTACTTAGGCATTCTACCTACTGCAATATGCTGGTTTGGTTAAAAAATATGAAGAAACTCTGGCCTTCCACAGATAATGTAGTTTGAAAAGAGATGTTAGTTGCCGTGTGGAATCTGAAACCATATTAATGAACTTTTCATATTCTCTTAGATTAAAATCCATTGGTCTCGGGGTGCCTGGGTGGCTCAGTCGTTAAGCGTCTGCCTTCGGCTCAGGTCATGATCCCAGGGACCTGGGATCGAGTCCCGCATCTGGCTCCCTGCTCAGTGGGAAGCCTGCTTCTCCCTCTCCCACTCCCCCTGCTTGTGTTCCCTCGCTCGCTAAATCTCTCTCTGTCAAATAAATAAATAAATAAATAAATAAATAAAATCTTTAAAACAAAAATCCATTGGTCTAGCTTGCATTTTGGATGAAACTTTCACCAGGCATGGTTTTGTAACATTATCCATTGGTCATTTGGGAAATAATTGGTTCACTGATTTAGGCAACTTCCACATGTTAACACATTTCATTATACAGTATCAAACTATCACAGTTGTTAATATCACCATCAGTATCTTTAAATCAGAAAAGTATTTAAACATTGGGGGGCCATTCAGCTCATGGTGGCAGATACAAGTTTTCCTTAACTCCACCTTTTGCCTAAAAGCTTAGATTTTTATCATTAGCAACAACTTTCCAGTTGTTCTTCTTGATGTGACAGGCTCAGTTGATTCATTTTCAAGAAGTTGTCTGCCAACGGGGCGCCTGGGTGGCTCAGTTGGTTAAGCAACTGCCTTCGGCTCAGGTCATGATCCTGGAGTCCCGGGATCAAGTCCCGCATCGGACTCCCTGCTCAGCGGGGAGTCTGCTTCTCCCTCTGATCCTCCCCCTCTCATGCTCTCTGTCTCCCATTCTCTCTCTCAGATAAATAAATAAAAAATCTTTAAAAAAAAAAAAAAGAAGTTGTCTGCCAAATCCTCAAGTCTGAATAACCATAGTTTATCAGTCATTTTTTTCAAGCAAAGGGATGTTTCACGGAAAAAGTGGCTAGTTCAGCTTGCAATACAGTGGAAGTATTTTATGTGTACTCCCTCTTTTGATGCAAGAGGTGAGATTTAATAAAATTAATAGTTTTTACTGCTTTGTCAATGTTATAGACTGAATTGTGTGCACCCCCCCAAATTCATACATTAAAGTCCTCTCTCCCAGAACCTCAGAATGTGACTGTATTTAGAGATAGGGTTTTTAAAGATATGATTAAGTTAAAATGAGGCTATTTGGATTGGATTAGGTTGGGTCCTTAGGGTGGACCTTAATTCAGTCTCACTGGTGTCCTTATAAGAAGAGGAAATTGGGGGGGCGCCTGGGTGGCTCAGTGGTTAAGCATCTGCCTTCAGCTCAGGTCATGATCCCAGGGTCCTGGGATCGAGCCCCGCATCCGGCTCCCTGCTCCGTGGGGCGCCTGCTTCTCCCTCTCCCACTCTCCCTGCTTATGTTTCCTCTCTCGCTGTGTCTCTCTCTGTCAAATAAATAAATAAAATCTTTAAAAAAAAAAAAAGAGGAAATTGGGACACACAAAGAGAAGAGACAGCAAGGCTATGCATACATGGAGGAAAGACCCTGTGAGGACATGGTGAGAAGGTATTCATCTACAAGTGAAGGGAAGAGGTCTCTGGAGGAACCAGCTCTGCGGGCACCTTGATCTTGGACTTTTCAGTCTCAGAATTATGAGAAAATAGATTTCTGTTGTTTAGATCGTATTGTATGTGGTATTTTATTACGGCAGCCCCAGCAAACTAATACAGTCAATAATACTTTAAAGTAACACTGGCTTTCTGCCCCCTGCAAATATATGGTGGTAAAGAACACAATGACGACTAATACAGATGAGATGGGGCGCGTTCAGGGTGATATGGCCGTAGACTGACGACTAATACAGAATTGATGCCCCTGCCTGGATCCATGCTAAGCGGCCAGCAGTTTCACTATCATTGCTTTTGCAGGGCAAATAGCAACACTGAAAAAGGCAAGTAATGTTTTGGTATTACTGTGAAAATAGTTCTGATGTCATGGACTCCTTGAAAAGGTCTTGGGGACCCTAGAGGTCCATGGCCTGTACTTTGGAAGCTACTTACTGTTCTACATCTATATTTGTGCTGCCGAAGTCGCAGTGGCAGCTGGAAGGCCCGAGCTTTCTCTACGGTTCCAGCACTCTCGCCTCGTGTGCTAGTGGCTGGCAGATCAATTGTAGCAGATGCTTCGACTAATCAATGAATCTGACCATCACAATGGTCAGAGGCCGTTGTGAGTAGCAACCTCTAGTTCTATAAAAATGATAAACATGACTCAGATACTGTGGTTGGATTCTCTAGAGTCAAGGACCATGGATCTGTTGGTCATCTGCTACTGGTTTCTCCTTCGTGACAGTACTCTGGGGATCAGAGGCTGGATCCAGGATGATTGTGCTTCGGCGACAGTGGGAGGGATCAGTGAAGTGTAGACATTACTTTCAGTACCCATTCAACATTTCTGTGGCCGTACTTCAGATTTTCCATTAAAAATAATTTTTACTTATTTAACCAGCAGGTAGTTGGGATGGTAACTTGAGTATTTGGCAAAACCATAAAGAGGAGGAATAGAGCAACATGGCTTGCAACATTTATGGGTCAAATAATATACTTAGCCCCTGGACAGAAATGTAAAGAGGCAAGGCTTTTGAACAGAGGGTCATATAAGGCCCCAGGTATGGATAAATCTAGGCAAGTTCCCCTGTTTTAGGGACCCCTGGCATACCCTGACTTTTGTCAAAACTTTTTCTTACCTCCTCTAGGATGTTCACCCAACTGAAAGAGAAGTGAGCTTGACAATCAATTGATTGGAGTTCATTGGTACATCTGTAGAAGTTGGGGAATGCCCCTCCCCCAAGAGGAAGACAAACTTGAGCTATTATCATTATCTCTGATCTGGAAAGGCAGTGATTTTTTTTTTTTTAGAGATTTATTTATTTATTTGAGAGAGAGAGAGAGTACAGTGGGGAGGGGCAGAGGGAGATGGAGAGAGAATCTCAAACAGACTCCTCGCTGAGAGCAGAGCCCAGCTCGGCGCTCAATCTCATGACCCCGAGATCATGACCTGAGCTGAAATCAAGAGTCACATGCCCAACCCACTGAAGAACCCCAGGGCACTGATTTTTGGTACCTCACTTGTGCCTATGTCTTGAATAAGAATAATCCAAAATGTGCAACTTCATCATTAAGTGGTTTTCTTATTCATTTTACCTATGTGGTCAGCGACAGAGTTCTTTGTTGTCTTAAAAATGTTATATGAACACACCATTTTTTTTTTTTAAGGATTTTATTTATTTGACAGAGAGAGACACAGCGGGAGAGGGAACACAAGCAGGGGGAGTGGGAGAGGGAGAAGCAGGCTTCTCGCTGAGCAGGGAACCCGATGCGGGGCTTGATCCCAGGACCCCATGATCATGACCTGAGCCAAAGGCAGACGCTTAACGACTGAGCCATTCAGGCGCCCCAGAACACACCATTTTAAAATGCCTCCAGCTTTAGGGAATTCTTTGAGCAGAGCAGTATTCCTTAAGAAGGTATGCTAATTATCAAGAAACATACTGCATTTCACTTTTTCCCTATTTAAACTTGCCACAGACTTCTCGGTCACTTAAAAAGAAAATCTTTAAAAAACATTTTATTATAAAGTTGAAATATTCCAAAAAAGAGATTAATAGAATCAATATCTATAGACTCAATCACCTAGATTCAACAATGGTTAGTATTTGCCATATTTGCTATTTATTTTGATCAAGTATTTAAAAATAAATTATAAGCATCACGACAATTCATTTTTAAAAAGATTTTATATATATACATATATATATATATTTATTTATTTATTTATAGCTTTTGAGTGGGGAGGGGAAGAGGGAGCGGTCCATGATCAAATTTTTCCAATTTTTCCCCACATGTCTTTTACAGTTGGTTTTTAAAACAGGATTCCGGTTAAAGATTATGCATTTCATCTGGTGCTAAATCCTTTAGGTTTCTTTAATATGGGACAGTCCTCCTTCCACTGCTTTCCCTCCACTGTGCCTTTTTTTCTTCTTCTCATAACACTGAATATCTCACCTTCGGGATTTGTCTTGTTGTTTCTCTGTGGAATCCTTTAACTTGTTCTTCTAGCTCCCTCGTCCCCTTTTAGAACTAAAGGTTGGATTAGGTTTAGTGTATTTACTGATTTGGGGCAGGACTACTGTGTGGCGAGGCTGTGTCTTGTGAACTGCATCATGTCAAGATAATGACTGAATGAGGCTAAGATCGATTCCTAGGATAAGACGGTGACATAAAAATCTATCTTTTGTAAAGTTACATATTCCCATTGCAACCAGCAAGTAATCTGAGACTTTAAAGTGTTTTAGAACTTTTTTTTTTTGGTTTGAAATATTTTTTTCTGCGTGATTTCTTGCATGAAGCAGGAGGCTCGTCCT